AGCCTTCAGGATTGTGAATGGGTATGATTACCTCGGAGAGATGATGACTTTTGGTCAAGTGGCCATGGCTAAGTACCCCAAGCAGAAGGACAAGGCAGCCCCGAGATGGATTCGGGGAGTGTATGTGGGGAAGAACGCACTTGGTGATGAACACCTGTTGCTCACGGAAGCAGGCGTGCAAACCTGCAGGACTGCGCGGAGGTTGCCTGAGAGTTCCCAGTACAGTGTGGAGGTTCTAGAGAAGGCAAGAGGAGTGCCGTGGAACCGGTACTTGGGGATAGCAACCACCAGAGTTGCGCAAGAGAAGTCCGAGCAGAAAGCAGTCTCAGTCCCAGAGCTGGAGGCTGCAGAGACCTACGACTTTGGGTCTGGTGATCCAAAGGAAGTGCTGGTTGTTCCAATGCCAGCACCGCCGCAAGGTGAGAAGCACGAAAAGGAAGCGAGCGAAGAACCAGAGAGCAAGAGAGCAAGGGTGGAACCTGGTGAGGCCAAGCAGCCCTCGGGTGACACCGCTCAAGCTTCAGATGGACCGGTGCGGTTCAGCATCGCAACGCCTGATGCTAGCATGGGGACAGGCAGTCATGACCTTAGTCTCTACTCGCCATCCCTTCCGGGAGACATGGCTCAGGATATGATATCCTGCATCAGCAACCATGGTGAGTGGAGTGAGGCAGGCACGTGTCTTGGAAAGGAGGACTACGAGCACTACAAGAAGTGGGTGAAGCAGAATGAAGGATGCTTCAACTCAAGCATGGTCAGCAATATCATGGACTATCTGGACACGATGCAAATGGATGAAAGAGAGCTCAAGAGAGCGCGGAAGGAAGAGCTGAGAAAGCTCAACGAGGTCTATGGGGCCTTCACGCCTAGAGATGGGCGTCAGCTTCCGAGAGACCTAACGGTGTTTGGCCACAAGTGGGTCGACAAGGTGACAGAGGGGATAGCGAAGTCCAGGCTTACATGCCAGGATTTCAAGAAGAAGCAAGATGCCAACGAGAGACACAGCTCAGAGTTTCCCTCAAACTTTTGCCCTACACCGCACGCGACCTCCAGAAAGCTTTTGGAAGTTTACTCTTTGGCTACGAAGATGCCGAGAGTGAAAGCTGATTTGAGCTCAGCTTTTCTGATCGCTAAAGATGGAGGAGACGCGAAGGGGCAACCGGTGATGATGAGGCCACCAAAGGAATGGCTGGAGGATTACGACGAATGGTATGCCAAGGCAGATCCAGAAGTTCAGCGACAGCTGAAGGACACGCCCAAGGAAAATGTGTTGTGGCAGGTAGACGGAAACCTGTACGGCAGACAGTCGGCGGCAGCACAGTACAGAGATCGTTTGGAGGTCATTTTGACCAAGGAACTCCCAAAGGGAGTCTATGATTTTCACCGCGGAAAGCTTGATGCATGTGTGTTTCGATGCAGGCGCACAGGTATAGTTCTGATTCATCACATAGATGATTTCGATGTGTGCGGACCGGCTGCGTTGTTGAACGACTTACTCAAGGTGCAGTTGCCAAAGTGCGGGTGCAAGCTGAAAGTGGGTGAGCTTGAGTGGCCTGGGGAAGCAAGCAGTAGCACAAGTGAGTTTCTTGGTAGGAAGAAGATTCTAGTTGAAGGTGCTGTGGTGACGCTTCCGAACGAGAAGCACATCAACGACATTCTTAGGATGCTAGGACTTGAAGAAGCAAAGCCAAGCCCAGTGCCAGGGAAGAAGCTTAACCTGCAGGACAACAAACCGCTTGAAGGCAAGGCGAAGGAAACCTACGCAAGCTGTGTAGGTAGCGCAACTTATCTGTCACAAGACAGACCGGATATAAAGTTTGCCTGCAAGGAGCTGGCAAAGCGGATCAGGGAACCGCGTGAGTGTGACATGCAAAACCTCAAGGTGCTAGGAAGGTATCTGCGTGGGACAATGCACGTAGGACACGTGACCAAGTTGGATGAACATGTGGACCCAGCGGCAGGGATTCCTCTTCAGGGATTCTGTGACAGCGACTGGGCTGGAGATAAAGAGGATAGGAAAAGCACCAGTGGACAGGTGATAGTCCTAGGAGGGACTGTCGTGGAGACCTCAGCGAGGACTCAGCAAGGCACCCCAGCTACAAGCTCAGGGGAAGCAGAGGTCAGAGCCTTAACTCAGTGCGCTCAGGACCTGGTGTTCGTGAGGAACTTAGGAGTTGAGGACTTCGGGATGTCAATCGATGTTCCGAGGCTGTTCTGCGATAGCAGTGCAGCAATCCAGGTTGCTAGGCGACTTGGTGTTGGGAAGATGAGACATGTCGATCTAGGACACTTGTACATTCAAGAACTTGTGAAAGAGAAGAGAGTGATTGTCCAGAAGATCAAAGGGACAGAGAATCCTTCAAACGCCTTAACAAAGCATTTGGCCACGGGAGCCGAAACTGAGGAAGGAAGGGGCATGTTGGGTCTAGTAACCTTGGACAAGCAAGGGCTGGACAAGCACGTTTCAAAGAACACGATGCAATCGGTTGGAGCACTGACAAGCTGGAAGAAGTGGCAGCCGCAGCAGTGCACAAGGCTCAGCACAAAGCAGTTCGTTAGTGCTGTTGGTAGACATCGGCCTCTAAGGGAGACACCTCATGGATCTTATCCCTTATGGAGCGGGTGATACCGTTGCTTCGTGGATGCCCTATCTCATCATGATCAGTTTCACGTTGAATGCCATCACAATGGCGTTGGCAGTGATCTTTTGCCTCTGTAAGTGTATCCATTTTGGAAACCGAGAGGTGATTGTGTACATGGGTACAACGTGCGCACATGGAAAGCTCTTTATGAGCCGAAAGGGACGCAAAGTCCACTCAGACCCTGGGTGTCAAGGTTTGTACAGAGCGGACGACATCAAGGGATTTGACTTTTGCAAGTATTGCTTTAAAAGCAAGACCAAGTAACGCATTTTGAGCCCAATGCGCGACCGGGTACGACAAGATACCCACTACAAGGAGGGTGCGAGAAATTCTCGAGCCTTACCTGTAGTTCTCGTGTGTAGTGTGTACTTGTACAGTTGTATAGCTAGTACACTACCGAAGCCCTGTTGGTACAAGCTAAGCAGCAGGAAAAGCTAGCACTCCGCCCGTTTCGCAGTTTGCCTGTTCCCAGACACGGGCTGCAGGAGAGCGTGTGCAAGCTCGGCATGCTCTCAACCGCTACTCGGGAAGCCGGACTGGTTAGGAGAAACATCATCATAATATGATGATGCTGCTCCTCACCAGTCCGGCTTTGCGACTGTTGCCGAATGCATCTGCGGTTGAAGATCTGCCGCAAGACTCCCTCCCTGGCTGGGCTGAGACATGTGTCGTGACATGACAATCTGACAATCATCACGAGGCTCGGCAAAGGTTCGGTTCCTAGGTTCCCAGGCTCCCAGGTAGAATAGTTCGTTGGGTTGTCAGGCTCAGCACAGGTCTCAGCCCAGGGAGCTGGGTTGCTTGCGGCGAGTCTTGTTCCGTCGCAGATTCAGTCGAACACAGTCTCCCTGACTGAGGGTAACCAGTCATCATCGAGGCTTGGAAAATTAAGCATGCCCCGTGGAGTCCTCATCGTCATCATCTGTCATCAATGTCATCAGGTTCCGAGGCTTGTTCAAGGTTCATGGGCCGCAACATCATCATCACCATCATCATCATCAGTCATCATCATATGCGAGGCTCCCAGGCCCAGATCCCTTAAAATTTTTCGGGAGGGTCGACGCACACACCAAGAAAATTAGTGTCTGTTTGAAACCATAAACCTCTAAAGGGGTAGCTCTACAGGTACCTACAGCAATGGCTGCATGCTCATACATATACATTCCGCTGCCCATTGGCTCACAGTGGTTTTACCATATTGAGACAAGACAAGCTCTCCTTGCGTAGCAAGACAAAAAAACTACTGTCCGTGTGCAGGGCGCTGCCCTTTGATCCTTAGGGAATAACTGGTCATACACCTCCTAACAAGGAGTATTCCTTGTGGGTGTATCGGCACAGGGGGAGGGAGAGGGGGGGCGTAAAAATGAGGGAAGGGAGGCCTGGGAGGGGGGGGGGGAGGCCGACAAATCAGGTAAAATGAGGGCAAGGGGGTGGCAAACGAACGCAAAAACAGGGTGTCACCAATCACTGCGTACCTGAGGTAACCACCAAAACGCCTGGGCCTCTGGCCTCGGCGGATTGCTTACCTTCCCTCCCTCCCCTGCCTACCTGCCTACAGGTTAGCTACGTATACATGTGCAGCATGTGCAGGCACACACTCGTAAATACACATGGACATATGTATGGCTTTGCCGGGGTATTCAGTTTGTTCTCATGCGTTTGCAGCTGTACGAGGTTTCGATCCCCACCGCAAGTCCGATTCCACTGCAGAGGAAGCCTTGGGAGAGGGCACCCAGCTTCAGAGTATAGACTCAGACGAGTTTCTGACATCACATGCTGTCGGTGGTCACCGTTCTTTGCCTCCCAGGTGAGATCAAGGTCTGTCGTGAGATGGGGTTCGCTAGTGCCCGACTCGGAAACCGAGGTCTAACAAATGCCCAGTGCGTTGCTTGTCGCTATGGTGAGAGTGATGACTGTTCTTCTAGTCTAAGCATGTTTAAATTCTGAGCTTGACTAGGCTTTTCAGGAGTTAAGTGCAGCCGTTGGTACTGGAGCCGGTGGCCGTTAGGGCTCGGCCTCTCGTGAACAACCTTTTCGGATAGGGAGCTGGTCACGGTTGGTCCCTGTTTCGGTGAGTTCGCACCCTCTCAGTAGATTCAGCAGCCCGCGGCGTTTGCCAGATCGCCCGGCGTGCATGGATGCGTTCAGGCTTAAAGTAGCCAGGGTCACGGTTAGTTTAAGCAGCTGAGTAACTCTGAGTAGAAACAGTCAGGATGGATCGGCAGTAGCATCAGAAAAGCATACGGTTTTCGTTATTCCGAGCAATAGGCTACTGAGAAAGGCAGCTAACCTTTCGTCAAGTCGGACGAGACTTATAAGTATATGGCTTAGTACGGGAATCAATCCCCGCATAATCCAATGGACGGTTCGCCGGAGCGTCTGCAAAACTTCATTTCAAAATGCGCGGCAGATGAGGCCAAGTGGGCAGGTTATGTCTGACAGTCCTGACACATTCCATCCTGGCAGGGGTTGGCTGTTGAGGAAGTTTCAAACTCTCCCCTCACAAGCCAAACGTCGAGTTTGCCCGGTGTCATGGCAGAGATTCGGATGAAGGGGTGAGAGGAGAGTCATCCAGTGACTCTACATAGTTGCTTACTGTTTAAGGTTTATGCTTGTCGTGACCGCTGCCGACTTTCGAGCAACACATGCCAGGGTGCTCGGAAAAGAGACGGAGTTTGCTGCTACTCAGGTAATTCTTGCCAATTTCCAGCAGGGGACTCTTTTGAAAAGATACTTTGCTGCACAATGCAATCGGGATCTTCCGTCCAGCGCTGGAGGCAAAGTCTGCCTTTAGCTCTGCCAGTTGGTCTGAGGCTGCTGCTGGACGCACAGTCCAGAATCGGAACTTGGCTGTCGGCCGTGGATGCCCAGGCAGACTCCACAGCCTCAAGGTGCCTTCCGGGCCGGCCGAGACAGACCTGCCGTCAACCCATCTCTACTACCAGTAGCAACTTCAAGACATCTTGATTCTGCACTTGCAAAGGCTTCCGGCATTGCATGACAGGTCACTTCCGGGACAGGCAGAAACGCCGGATGCGTCTGAGCAAGTGTCACCACTGCCGCAGCCAAAGGTGTGTTTTGGATGCAAGTATCAACCTTGATCTTTGTGGCTTTTGGACTTGTGTCGATGTCGATCAACTAGTTTAAACGCGGTCGAGTGTATGCCTTCTGAGACACGGGACATGCGGAACATGCAAGGTCTGCCGCAGCCAGGAGACTGCAAGAGTGGAGGTTGACACGGGAGTCCACGCGACTTGACAGACACTTGAAACGCTGATAGTACATTCCGGTACCAGATGCACGGTTACGGCTCATGTTAATGCATTGCGTGTGGGAGCAATCCTGTGCGAGGTTGACTGCGGAGACGGAGGCTCCGCACGCAGCGACGGTCTCAGCTGAGCCGAAGCAGGAGCTAGCTTCTTAGCATAACAATCGACCCGGCATTGAGATGTGCAAAAACCGTGTCCCGTTGACAAAGTGTTGTTTTGTAGCATTTAGCCAGCAAGCCCTGGCAGGAGCGTGGCGAAAGTGGTAAAGCACAGCCAAGTGACCCATTCGTAGAGGCAACAGTTGGGGAGGCCGTGGTCCGAATTCGGATATCGGAAGAAGAGTCCAAAACAGTCGCACAATTGGCTGCCACCTTCGAGCAGTCCAACGTGCCAAAGGGGAAGGCCGATGCCACTTCTGCGTTGTCCAAGACACCCATGCAGGCGCGGCTGTCGTTTACTCGCTTCCGATCGAAGTGCGTTAAACCAAGTTGCTGTAGCCGTATTCCTGGGCTGCCCGGAGGAGGAAGGTGACGAGCAGCCGGCTAGAGCTAGAGAAGCTGAAAGAGCAGATGAGGCCAAGCCTGTCGAAGCTAACGGAATTCCGACTCCAGCACTCCAGTCTCCAGGCGCCCAAGGGCCCGGAGGACAAAGTTCCGAGCTCAGAGGCCCTGCAGGCGGCCGCTGGAAAGCTCATGGAGAGGGTCAAAGCTGCCAGAGAGAGAAAGAAGCGGCCGGAAGAGGACGGGTGGCCTTGCTTTTGTGCCTGCGAGTACTGGGCACAGCATGGTGCTCGATAAGATGCAGTTGCAGGCAGCCGTGGAGAAGCCCACACTACAGGCGGCCAGAAACCAGCGCATTCGCAACCAACTCCTGAAGAAATCTCATTTGAGACGGCATGCAGGAAAGCGCTCGCCTGGAGGAGGAAGAGGACGGGAAGCCAAGAGGGCATGCCGGAAAGACTTTTCTGTCTGGCGGCTTCTAGCTTGCCCAGTTGCTTAGCTGCGGTTAGCCTGTTGTGTGGCAGCGGGAGGTGGCTGTGGAGAAGCCCTGTGCAGAGGCGGGGCGTGCTTTGTAGCACGTGCTGGGTGCACTCACTGTAAGATGCTCGCCGCTGCAGAGTTGCAGGAACCGGAGGAGACGCACGGAGAAGAGGCGAGTGTTGAAGAAGTTTAAGAACCGCTGCTTGTAACGGCTTGCATCAAGCAGATTTTAGAGCCCGTGATACCCTTGTGCTTCGTGCCAGTGATCTAGTTTCCCCCACCCTGGGGTATCTTGTACTTCAGATTCTCGAAGTGTAGATGAACAGACACTCCTGCGTGGCATAGGAGCCGGCAGCGGCGCAGCCCGGCCAGGCGGTGGAGGCTGGACAGCTTAGCTGCTTGCTTTTGTTATGGCTCTTCATCCGACAGCTCGACTGCTTGCTGCCACAGTGATCAGCCGTGGCAAGTCGAGTCACACAGAATGCTTATGCACTGGAAAAGGAACGGCTTGAAGAAGAGAAGCCGCCCGCAGAGGTGCACCACGACGTCATGCCAGTGGATGAATTTGCATTCTTACCCATTCTTGCCCGTTGATCTGCCACGTGGCCACTGTTGTGTTGATAAGCAGGAAGAGGAGCTGACCGAGAAGGTCCTGGCACAGGAGGCAATCGTGGGCAATAGCTGACGTCATATCAAAATGCGTCGGGGTAAGGCTCTGGAAGGATTGGAGGACGGGTTGCGTGATGAATGTTCGGAGTTTGCATCCTTTTTCACTTCACCGGACGAAAGAAGACGAAGAAGAGATCACAGCTTTGACAGATGCAGCTAGTCCAGAGCATCCTCTGCCCGGCAGCCTCCAGCTTGTCCATGTGGTTGCTTAAGGCTTAGCTGCGGTTAGCTTGTTCTGTGGCAGGGGGAGGTGGCTGTGGAGAAGCTCTGTGCAGAGGCGGCATGTATTTGCTGGCACGTACTCTGTGCAAGCACTGTAAGACAAATTCCCGTTGCAGAGCTGCAGGAACCGGTGTGCCTGCATCAAGCGAAGCAAGCAGACATGGATCCCGCGATATCCTGGGTTGCATGCGCACAGGCACAACAACTGTTTTCCTCACGCCTGGGTGTCTTGTGCTTCAGATTCTCGAAGTCTAGATGAACAGACACTCCTGCATGGCATAGGAGCCGGCAGCGCCGCAGCCGGGCCAGGCGGTGGAGGCTGGACAGCTTGAGGTTAGACGGTTAGCTGCTATGCTTAGCTGCATGCTTTTGTTATGGCTCTTGATGCGACAGCTCGACTGCTTGCTGCCACAGTGATCAGCCGTGGTAAGTCGACTCGAACAGAATGCTTATGCAGGGCTTCTCTTCATTTGAAGATGAACAGACCTTCCCTGCCCGGTGTAGGAGCCGGTTGCGGTGAAGAAAGGCCAGGCGCAGGAGGAGGCTGGATAGCTTGAGGTTAACTGCTACCTTAGCTTAATCATCCTTACTAAGCTCATCGGTCTGCCACAGCTGTGCTCAGCCGTTCCAAGTCGACTGAAAGTGAATTTTTTTTGCAGGCAAAAGAACAATTTGAGGAAGAGAAACAGCCGCAAGAGGTGCACCGCTACGTCATGCCAGTGGATGCCTTTGGATTCATACCAATTCCTGCACGTTGAGCTGCCATGTGGCCACTCTGTGCTGGGAAGCAGGCTGACAAGGTCCCGGCAGAGGAAGAGGCAGTCGTGGTCCTAGCTCACGTTTCATTCGAAGATGAACAGACCTTCCCTGCGCGGTTTAGGAGCCGGTTGCGGTGGAGAAAGGCCAGGCGGAGGAGGAGGCTGGATAGCTTGAGGTTAACCCTAGCTTTTCATCCTTACTAAGCTCATGGGACAGCCGCAGCTGTGCTCAGCCGTTCCAAGTCGACTGAAAGTGAATGTTTTTTGCAGGCAAAGGAACAACTTGAGGAAGAGAAACAGCCGCAAGAGGTGCACCGCTACGTCATGCCAGTGGAAGCTTGTGGATTCATACCCATTCTTGCACGTTGAGCTGCCATGTGGCCGCTCTGCGCTGGGAAGCAGGCAGAGGAGCTGACCAAGAAGGTCCCGGCAGAGGAAGAGGCAGTCGTGGGCCTAGCTCACGTCATACAGGCACTCTTCATTTGAAGATGAGCAGACCTTCCCGGCGCGCTTTAGGAGCCGGCTGCGGTGGAGAAAGGCCAGGCGGAGGAGGAGGCTGGATAGCTTGAGGTTAACCTTAGCTTTTCATCCTTACTAAGCTCATGGGACAGCCGCAGCTGTGCTTAGCCGTTCCAAGTCGACTGAAAGTGAATGTTTTTTGCAGGCAAAGGAACAACTTGAGGAAGAGAAACAGCCGCAAGAGGTGCACCGCTACGTCAAGCGAGTGGAAGCTTTAGGATTCATACCCATTCTTGCACGTTGAGCTGCCATGTGGCCACTCTGCGCTGGGAAGCAGGCAGAGGAGCTGACCGAGAAGGTCCCGGCAGAGGAAGAGGCAGTCGTGGGCCTAGCTCACGTCATGCAAGCACTCTTCGTTTGAAGATGAACAGACCTTCCCTGCGCGGTTTAGGAGCCGGTTGCGGTGCAGAAAGCCCACACGGAGGAGCAGGCTGGATAGCTTGAGGTTAACTGCTACCTTAGCTTTTCATCCTTACTAAGCTCAGCGGTCGTTCGAAGTCGACTACAACTGAATGTTTTTTGCAGGCAAAGGAACAACTTGAGGAAGAACAACAGCCGCAAGAGGTGCACCGCTAAATCATGCCAGTGGATGCTTGTGGATTCGGACCCATTCTTGCACATTGAGCTGCCATGTGGCCACTCTGCGCTGGGAAGCAGGCAGAGGAGCTGACCGAGAAGGTCCCGGCAGAGGAAGAGGCAGTCGTGGGCCTAGCTCACGTCATGCAAGCACTCTTCATTTGAAGATGAGCAGACCTTCCCTGCGCGGTTTAGGGGCCGGTTGCGGTGGAGAAAGGCCAGGCGGAGGAGGAGGCTGGATAGCTTGAGGTTAACCCTGGCCCTAGCTTTTCATCCTTACTAAGCTCATCGGTCTGCCGCAGCTGTGCTCAGCCGTTCCAAGTCGACTGAAAGTGAATGTTTTTTGCAGGCAAAGGAACAATTTGAGGAAGAGAAACAGCCGCAAGAGGTGCACCGCTACGTCAAGCGAGTGGAAGCTTTTGGATTCATACCCATTCTTGCACGTTGAGCTGCCATGTGGCCACTCTGCGCTGGGAAGCAGGCAGAGGAGCTGACCGAGAAGGTCCCGGCAGAGGAAGAGGCAGTCGTGGCCGTAGCCCACGTCATGCAAGCACTCTTCAGTTGAAGATGAACAGACCTTTCCCTGCACGGTTTAGGAGCCGGTTGCGGTGGAGAAAGGCCAGGCGGAGGAGGAGGCTGGATGGCTTGAGGTTAACTGCTACCTTAGCTTTTCATCCTTACTAAGCTCAGCGGTCGTTCGAAGTCGACTACAACTGAATGTTTTTTTGCAGGCAAAGGAACAACTTGAGGAAGAAAAACAGCCGCAAGAGGTGCACCGCTACGTCATGCCAGTGGATGCTTGTGGATTCGGACCCATTCTTGCACATTGAGCTGCCATGTGGCCACTCTGCGCTGGGAAGCAGGCAGAGGAGCTGACCGAGAAAGTCCCGGCAGAGGAAGACGCAGTCGTGGGCCTAGCTCACGTCATGCAAGCACTCTTCATTTGAAGATGAACAGACCCTCCCTGCGCGGTTTAGGAGCCGGTTGCGGTGCAGAAAGCCCACACGGAGGAGCAGGCTGGATAGCTTGAGGTTAACTGCTACCTTGGCTTTTCATCCTTACTAAGCTCAGCGGTCGTTCGAAGTCGACTACAACTGAATGTTTTTTGCAGGCAAAGGAACAACTTGAGGAAGAACAACAGCCGCAAGAGGTGCACCGCTAAATCATGCCAGTGGATGCTTGTGGATTCGGACCCATTCTTGCACATTGAGCTGCCATGTGGCCACTCTGCGCTGGGAAGCAGGCAGAGGAGCTGACCGAGAAGGTCCCGGCAGAGGAAGAGGCAGTCGTGGGCCTAGCTCACGTCATACAGGCACTCTTCATTTGAAGATGAACAGACCTTCCCTGCGCGGTTTAGGAGCCGGTTGCGGTGGAGAAAGGCCAGGCGGAGGAGCAGGCTGGATAGCTTGAGGTTAACTGCTACCTTAGCTTTTCATCCTTACTAAGCCCATCGGTCTGCCACAGCTGTGCTCAGCCGTTCTAAGTCGACTGAAACTGAATGTTTTTTTTGCAGGCAAAGGAACAACTTGAGGAAGAAAAACAGCCGCAAGAGGTGCACCGCTACGTCATGCCAGTGGATGCTTGTGGATTCGGACCCATTCTTGCACATTGAGCTGCCATGTGGCCACTCTGCGCTGGGAAGCAGGCAGCGGAGCTGACCGAGAAGGTCCCGGCAGAGGAAGAGGCAGTCGTGGGCCTAGCTCACGTCATGCAAGCACTCTTCATTTGAAGATGAGCAGACCTTCCCTGCGCGGTTTAGGGGCCGGTTGCGGTGGAGAAAGGCCAGGCGGAGGAGGAGGCTGGATAGCTTGAGGTTAACCCTGGCCCTAGCTTTTCATCCTTACTAAGCTCATCGGTCTGCCGCAGCTGTGCTCAGCCGTTCCAAGTCGACTGAAAGTGAATGTTTTTTGCAGGCAAAGGAACAATTTGAGGAAGAGAAACAGCCGCAAGAGGTGCACCGCTACGTCAAGCGAGTGGAAGCTTTTGGATTCATACCCATTCTTGCACGTTGAGCTGCCATGTGGCCACTCTGCGCTGGGAAGCAGGCAGAGGAGCTGACCGAGAAGGTCCCGGCAGAGGAAGAGGCAGTCGTGGCCGTAGCCCACGTCATGCAAGCACTCTTCATTTGAAGATGAACAGACCTTTCCCTGCGCGGTTTAGGAGCCGGTTGCGGTGGAGAAAGGCCAGGCGGAGGAGGAGGCTGGATAGCTTGAGGTTAACTGCTACCTTGGCTTTTCATCCTTACTACGCTCAGCGGTCGTTCGAAGTCGACTACAACTGAATGTTTTTTTGCAGGCAAAGGAACAACTTGAGGAAGAACAACAGCCGCAAGAGGTGCACCGCTACGTCATGCCATTGGATGCTTGTGGATTCGGACCCATTCTTGCACATTGAGCTGCCATGTGGCCACTCTGCGCTGGGAAGCAGGCAGAGGAGCTGACCGAGAAGGTCCCGGCAGAGGAAGACGCAGTCGTGGGCCTAGCTCACGTCATACGGGCACTCTTCATTTGAAGATGAACAGACCTTTCCCTGCCCTTTAGGAGCCGGTTGCGGTGGAGAAAGGCCAGGCGGAGGAGGAGGCTGGATAGCTTGAGGTTAACTGCTACCTTAGATTTTCATCCTTACTAAGCCCATCGGTCTGCCACAGCTGTGCTCAGCCGTTCTAATTCGACTGAAACTGAATGCTTTTTTTGCAGGCAAAGGAACACTTTGAGGAAGAGAAACAGCCGCAAGAGGTGCCCCGCTACGTCATGCCAGTGGATGCTTTTGGATTCATACCCATTCTTGCACGTTGAGCTGCCATGTGACACTCCGCGCTGGGAAGCAGGCAGCGGAGCTGACCGAGAAGGTCCCGGCAGAGGAAGAGGCAGTCGTGGGCCTAGCTCACGTCATGCAAGCACTCTTGATTTGAAGATGAGCAGACCTTCCCTGCGCGGTTTAGGAGCCGGTTGCGGTGGAGAAAGGCCAGGCGGAGGAGGAGGCTGGATAGCTTGAGGTTAACCCTAGCTTTTCATCCTTACTAAGCTCATCGGTCTGCCGCAGCTGTGCTCAGCCGTTCTAAGTCGACTGAAAGTGAATGTTTTTTTGCAGGCAAAGGAACAACTTGAGGAAGAGAAACAGCCGCAAGAGGTGCACCGCTACGTCAAGCGAGTGGAAGCTTTAGGATTCATACCCATTCTTGCACGTTGAGCTGCCATGTGGCCACTCTGCGCTGGGAAGCAGGCAGAGGAGCTGACCGAGAAGGTCCCGGCAGAGGAAGAGGCAGTCGTGGGCCTAGCTCACGTCATGCAAGCACTCTTCATTTGAAGATGAACAGACCTTCCCTGCGCGGTTTAGGAGCCGGTTGCGGTGGAGAAAGGCCAGGCGGAGGAGGAGGCTGGATAGCTTGAGGTTAACTGCTACCTTAGCTTTTCATCCTTACTAAACTCATCGGTCTGCCACAGCTGTGCTCAGCCGTTCTAAGTCGACTGAAAGTGAATGTTTTTTTGCAGGCAAAGATTCACTTTGAGGAAGAGAAACAGCCGCAAGAGGTGCACCTTTACGTCAAGCGAGTGGATGCTTTTGGATTCATACCCATTCTTGCACGTTGAGCTGCCATGTGACACTCCGCGCTGGGAAGCAGGCAGCGGAGCTGACCGAGAAGGTCCCGGCAGAGGAAGAGGCAGTCGTGGGCCTAGCTCACGTCATGCAAGCACTCTTCACTTGAAGATGAGCAGACCTTCCCTGCGCGGTTTAGGAGCCGGCTGCGGTGGAGAAAGGCCAGGCGGAGGAGGAGGCTGGATAGCTTGAGGTTAACCCTAGCTTTTCATCCTTACTAAGCTCATCGGTCTGCCGCAGCTGTGCTCAGCTGTTCTAAGTCGACTGAAACTGAATGTTTTTTGCAGGCAAAGGAACACTTTGAGGAAGAGAAACAGCCGCAAGAGGTGCACCGCTACGTCATGCCAGTGGAAGCTTTTGGATTCATACCCATTCTTGCACGTTGAGCTGCCATGTGACACTCTGCGCTGGGAAGCAGGCAGAGGAGCTGACCGAGAAGGTTCCGGCAGAGGAAGAGGCAGTCGTGGGCCTAGCTCACGTCATGCAAGCACTCTTCATTTGAAGATGAACAGACCTTCCCTGCGCGGTTTAGGAGCCGGTTGCGGTGGAGAAAGGCGAGGCGGAGGAGGAGGCTGGATAGCTTGAGGTTAACCCTAGCTTTTCATCCTCACTTACTAAGCTCATCGGTCTGCCGCAGCTGTGCTCAGCCGTTCTAAGTCAACTGAAAGTGAATGTTTTTTTTGCAGGCAAAGGAACACTTTGAGGAAGAGAAACAGCCGCAAGAGGTGCACCGCTACGTCATGCCAGTGGAAGCTTTAGGATTCATACCCATTCTTGCACGTTGAGCTGCCATGTGGCCACTCTGCGCTGGGAAGCAGGCAGAGGAGCTGACCAAGAAGGTCCCGGCAGAGGAAGAGGCAGTCGTGGGCCTAGCTCACGTCATGCAAGCACTCTTCATTTGAAGATGAACAGACCTTCCCTGCGCGCTTTAGGAGCCGGTTGCGGTGGAGAAAGGCCAGGCGGAGGAGGAGGCTGGATAGCTTGAGGTTGACCTGGCTTTTCATCCTTACTAAGCTCATCGGTCTGCCGCAGCTGTGCTCAGCCGTTCTAAGTCGACTGAAAGTGAATGCTTTTTTGCAGGCAAAGATTCACTTTGAGGAAGAGAAACAGCCGCAAGAGGTGCACCTTTACGTCAAGCGAGTGGAAGCTTTTGGATTCATACCCATTCTTGCACATTGAGCTGCCATGTGACACTCCGCGCTGGGAAGCAGGCAGCGGAGCTGACCGAGAAGGTCCCGGCAGAGGAAGAGGCAGTCGTGGGCCTAGCTCACGTCATGCAAGCACTCTTCATTTGAAGATGAGCAGACTTTCCTTGCGCGGTCTAGGAGCCGGCTGCAGTGCAGAAAGGCCAGGCGGAGGAGGAGGCTGGATAGCTTGAGGTTAACCCTAGCTTTTCATCCTTACTAAGCTCATCGGTCTGACGCAGCTGTGCTCAGCCGTCCTAAGTCGACTGAAAGAATGTTTTTTTGCAGGCAAAGGAACACTTTGAGGAAGAGAGACAGCCGCAAGAGGTGCACTGCTACGTAAAGCGAGTGGATGCTTCTGGATTCATACCCATTCTTGCACGTTGAGCTGCCATGTGGCCACTCTGCGCTGGGAAGCAGGCAGAGGAGCTGGCCGAGAAGGTCCCGGCAGAGGAAGAGGCAGTCGTGGGCATAGCTCACGTCATGCAAGCACCATTCATGTGAATATGAACAGACTTCTTGCGCGGTTTAGGAGCCGGTTGCGGTGGAGAAAGGCCAGGCGGAGGAGGAGGCTGGATAGCTTGGGTTAACCCTAGCTTTTCATCCTTACTAAGCTCATCGGACAGCCGCAGCTGTGCTTAGCCGTTCCAAGTCGACTGAAAGTGAATGTTTTTTGCAGGCAAAGGAACAACTTGAGGAAGAGAAACAGCCGCAAGAGGTGCACCGCTACGTCATGCCAGTGGATACTTTTGGCTTCATACCCTTTCTTGCACGTTGAGCTGCCATGTGACCACTCTGCGCTGGGAAGCAGGCAGCGGAGCTGACCGAGAAGGTTTTGGCAGAGGAAGAGGCAGTCGTGGGCCTAGCTCACGTCATGCAAGCACTCTTCGTTTGAAGATGAACAGACCTTCCTTGCGCGCTTTAGGAGCCGGCTGCGGTGGAGAAAGGCCAGGCGGAGGAGGAGGCTGGATAGCTTGAGGTTAACCTTAGCTTTTCATCCTTACTAAGCTCATGGGACAGCCGCAGCTGTGATCAGCCGTTCCAAGTCGACTGAAAGTGAATGTTTTTTTGCAGGCAAAAGAACAATTTGAGGAAGAGAAACAGCCGCAAGAGGTGCACCGCTACGTCATGCCAGTGGATGCTTTTGGATTCATACCCTTTCTTGCACGTTGAGCTGCCATGTGACCACTCTGCGCTGGGAAGCAGGCAGCGGAGCTGACCGAGAAGGTCTTGGCAGAGGAAGAGGCAGTCGTGGGCCTAGCTCACGTCATGCAAGCACTCTTCATTTGAAGATGAACAGACCTTCCCTGTGCGGTTGAGGAGCCGGCTGCGGTGGAGAAAGGCCAGGCGGAGGAGGAGGCTGGATAGCTTGAGGTTAACTGCTACCTTAGCTTTTCATCCTTACTTCGGAGCAACCACACTTGTCAGCCAAGACTGTTGAGGAGTAAAGTCACTGATGCAGTTGCATTGAACGCATTCCAAGTCCAACCCCATAGCTTGCGCCGAGGAGGCTTTCATCGCAGCCGAAAGCCCCCACCCCCCCGACGCACAGTTTTGCTTGTTGGATGTCGAAGAAGCCTTCTTGGCTTTAAGTTCACACTGCCCTGGCCGTCCATGCAGATGCGCGGTTGCCGGAGACACCTCACATGCAACATCGGTCTCGTCAATTCCAGGCGATGCACAACACTCGTTTTCGCTTCACAACACATAGGGGGCTTGGATAGGCACATTTCGCAGCTGGGAGTAGCATCCTCCATTCGCCACTGCCTTTTGAAATCATCATGACTTCATTGGACGCGTTAGGCTTGATCCAACATTCATTCAAAGAGCGGTCGCGTATGGAGAAGTGCGATGAGTTTCCTTGTTGATGCGAACACGCGAGTAAGGAAAGCAAGCACTTGCTACGACCTGTCATAAGAATCATAGAGTTTAGCTTGAAGTGGACGTCGACGCCACCTTGCGCAATCAAAACGTGGAAGTAAAAAGCGTTTTGTTCACGAAGCTCGTATCTGGTGGCCTCGTGATGAAGTAGTTTGCGAGAGTAGGTGCTTGTATATGTTTTCCAGATACATATATATATATATATATATATACATATGTGTATATATATATATATATGTATATGTATGTCTCTCACGTGTACATGCAGTGCTGTACAGTTGCAGTTGATGCCAGCAGCGCTTCTGTGTGATAGCTCCGATGCTGGCACAATTGCTGTGCTATAGTGTTCTTGATTTTCCCACCCGACTGCTCGGGAAGGGAAGAGTTTCTGCTGCATAGGATTGACAGGCTTGTCCACACACGTGTGAGGAGTGTTGACCAACTTGAATGTGGCATAGTATGTGTGCACACAGGGTTTACAGGAGAAGGCACGAATGGAAGAAGAAAGGCTTCGACAGGAGGCAAGCTTGACATGCAGCATCAGGGTCTTAATGACAACACCTGGCTGAACGATCATGCAGGGTGCCACATTTGTCGTGAGGCAGCGCTCGAGCGGGCCCGCGCAGAGGAAGAGGCACTTGTGCTGCAGAGGGCTGTAGGCGAAGTTGTCGTAGGCGGACACGAAGCCGAACGTGATGCCACCTTGCACACTCAAAACGTGGAGGTGAATAGCACTTTGTTCACGAAGCTAGTAGCTGGTGGCCTCGTGATGAAGTAGTTCGCGCGAGTATATACGTATATATATATATATATACATACATATACATATCTATAAATATATATATATATATATATATATATGCGTACGATTTTCCTAGATAGAAGAAAGGTAATTAGTCTATGATTATACATTCGAATCTACAGAAGAGTTGGTGAAGTTGAGATCACCAGAATCTTGCATAGTATGTGTGCGCAGGAGAGGGCGCGAGTAGAAGAAGAAAGGCTACAACAGGAGGCGAGCGTGATATGTAGCATCATGGTTTTACAAAACCCGGCTTGATGCTCGGGTGTCGCATTTGTGAGTCTTGTCTGCTCGTTTCTGTGGAAGGAGGCAGCAGCGCTCGAGCGGGTCCGCGTGGAGGAAGAGGCACTCGTGCAGCACAGGGCTGCAGGCTACTGCAAGGTCTCATTTCGCAGCCTGGCATCGCAGTCAAAACGTGGAAGTGAACAGCGTCGTGTTGACGAATTGCGTGCTGGTCGTCTCGTGATGACCTAACATATATATATATATATATCATATATCATATATCATATATGTAGTCGCTTAGTCTATGATCCCAGCACCCGAATCCACTGCAAGCACCGTCTTCGACTCTGCATCGCGGCTGGAGTGTGGACCAACTTGGATGTGGCATAGTATGTGTGCGCAGGAGAAGGCACGAATAGAAGAAGAAAGGCTTCGACAGGAGGCAAGCTTGACATGCAGCATCAGGGTCTTAATGACAATGCCTGGCTGAACGATCATGCAGGGTCCAGGGTGCCACATTTGTCGTGAGGCAGCGCTCGAGCGGGCCCGCGCAGAGGAAGAGGCACTTGTGCTGCAGAGGGCTGTAGGCGAAGTTGTCCTTCGTAGGCGGACATGAAGCCGAACGTGATGCCACCTTGCACAATCAAAACGTGGAGGTGAATAGCTCTTTGTTCACGAAACTCGTAGATGTGGCCTCGTGATGAAGTAGTTTGCGCGAGTATATACGTATATATATATATATATATATATATATATATACATATAGTTAATTATATATATATATATATATATATATGCGTACGACTTTCCCAGATAGAAAGGTAGTCTATGATTATACATTCGAATCTGCGGAAGAGTTGGTGAAGTTGAGATCACCAGAATCTTGCATAGTATGTGTGCACAGGAGAGGGCGCGAGTAGAAGAAGAAAGGCGACAACAGGAGGCGAGCGTGATACGCAGCATCATGGTTTTACATCACCCGGCTTGATGCTCGGGTGTCGCATTTGTCGTCTGTTTGTCGTGTCTTCTCGTTTCTGTGGGAAGAGGCAGCAGAACTTGAGCGGGCCCGCGCGGAGGAAGAGGCACAGCACAGGGCTGCAGGCTACCGTAAGGTCTCATTTCTCAGCATCGCATTGCAGTTGACGAATTGCGTGCTGGTAGGTAGTCTCGTGGTGACCGAACATACAGTCTCAGATCATAGCACCCGAATCCACTGCAAGCACCGTCTTCGATTCAGCATCGCGGCTGGTGTTGGGTGTAGCGGTTCGGCTGGGTTTGGCAGTAAACCCGTCTCTCACGTGTACATGCAGTGCTGTACAGTTGCAGTTGATGCCAGCAGCGCTTCTGTGTGATAGCTCCGGTGCTGGCACAATTGCTGTTCTATAGTGTTTTTTTGCACCCAACCGCCCGGGAAGGGAAGAGTTTCTGCTGCATAGGATTTACAGGCTTGTCCACACACGTGTGAGGAGTGTTGACCAACTTGAATGTGGCATAGTATGTGTGCACACAGGGTTTACAGGAGAAGGCACGAATGGAAGAAGAAAGGCTTCGACAGAAGGAGGCAAGCTTGACATGCAGCATAAGTCTTAATGACAACACCTGGACATCCTTGTAGTTTGGTAATTCCGATTTTCTCATTGCATTTCATTTTAGATAAGCGTGCATGGCGAAATCGCTATGTTCCGCGTCGCGGCTGACAGGCAACTGAGTCCGTGTGAGAGAGAGAGACAACACCTGGCTGAACGATCATGCAGGGTGTCACATTTGTCGTGAGGCAGCGCTCGAGCGGGCCCGCGCAGAGGAAGAGGCACTTGTGCTGCAGAGGGCTGTAGGCGAAGTTGTCCTTCGTAGGCGGACACGAAGCCGAACGTGATGCCACCTTGCACAATCAAAACGTGGAGGTGAATCGCGCTTTGTTCACGAAGCTCGTAGATGTGGCCTCGTGATGAAGTAGTTTGCGAGAGTATGTGCGTGTACATGTCTTCGATATATATATATATATACACACACATATATATATATTACAGTATATATTATATATATATATATATATATATATATATATACATATACGTATGTATATATGTATAAGTATATATAGATAGATAGATAGGCTGTGATTTTACAGTGTGGCTCAGCGCCCGAATCTACAGAAGAGTTGGTGAAGTTGAGATCACCAGAATCTTGCGTAGTATGTGTGCGCAGGAGAGGGCGCGAGTAGAAGAAGAAAGGCTACAACAGGAGGCGAGCGTGATATGCAGCATCATGGTTTTACAACACCCGGCTTGATGCTCGGGTGTCGCATTTGTGAGTCTTGTCTGCTCGTTTCTGTGGAAGGAGGCAGCAGCGCTCGAGCGGGTCCGCGTGGAGGAAGAGGCACTCGTGCAGCACAGGGCTGCAGGCTACTGCAAGGTCTCATTTCGCAGCCTGGCATCGCAGTCAAAACGTGGAAGTGAACAGCGTCGTGTTGACGAATTGCGTGCTGGTAGCTACGGTGTGCTTGATTTTTGATTGTCCCACCCGACTGCCCGGGAAGGGAAGAGTTTCTGCGGTTTCTGTTGCATAGGTTTTAAAGGCTTGTCCACACCCGTTTTGTGCACTGCATAAGAACGTGTGAGGAGTGTTGACCAACTTGGATGTGGCATAGTATGTGTGCACAGGAGAAGGCACGAATGGAAGAAGAAAGGCTTCGACAGGAGGCAAGCTTGACATGCAGCATCAGGGTCTTAATGACAACACCTGGCTGAACGATCATGCAGGGTGCCACATTTGTCGTGAGGCAGCGCTCGAGTGGGCCCGCGCAGAGGAAGAGGCACTTTTGCTGCAGAGGGCTGTAGGCGAAGTTGTCCTTCGTAGGCGGACATGAAGCCGAACGTGATGCCAACTTGCACAATCAAAACGTGGAGGTGAATAGCGCTTTGTTCACGAAGCTCGTATCTGGTGGCCTCGTGAAGAAGTAGTTTGCGAGAGTATGTGCGTGTATATGTCTTCGATACATACATATCTATAAATATATATATATATATATATATATAGATATGTGGCAGGAACCTTTACGTATAATGTGACATGTCCCTTGTGCTATACTACAGGAAGGGCTTACATGAGAGCATACAGTACGCACCCACGCACACACACACACACACTGGCAAATATCCTCGCATGATAGCCCACATACCATGTTCAAGGAGAACATGTACAGATTGTGGCGCTCAGTCAGTGGCTGGAAAGCCTTCCATCAGGACGACAGCATTTTGCAGGCTTGATTCGGAACACATTGTTTGAGATCCGCATTTGCGAACGCCCTAACATGTAACACATAGAAATTCATAGAACCATGTTACGCACAGCATGCCGGGCGAGAGCTGCGCGGAGACTATGTGCTTCCTGTGATGTGCAGCCAGGGGCTACAGAACGTTCAACAAGGAGGAAAACCAACCCTGATTATGGTAGCTCGCTGCGCAGCACCGTGCTTGCGCTTAGAATAAGCCGGATGTATCCGCATTATTCGTGGACTGTGTTGTTCAGTCGGTGGCTACACAATGACAGAGCTCCCCTAGCTTCCAAGAAGGCAAGTCCTTTACCTCATCCTCGACAAAAAGAAACCAAGAGCTTCGTCCAAATTCATGAGACAGAAGAGAGCTCCATCTCACAAAAGCAGACAGGCCCTGCCAAACTATCGAGAAAGAAGAGAGCTCCGTTTACCGCTCCGCCGGCAAGAAGAGACCTCTTTTCTGTCTAGATAAAGGAGAGATCGAGATCCTGACTATCCCGTTTACTTATTCAAAAGAAGGACGGAAGAGAGAGCATACGTTCAAGACAGGGTCAAATGGCCCCCAAGCTCAAAAAGAGACATCTGGTTCTACCCCCAGCGTTCAAAATCAAAAGGTAAGTCCCCCACCTCATGTTCCAAAGCAAGAAAAGATTTCCCTCTAACCTACCTTGTAAGAGAGTTGCTGTCTACAAGAACTCTTTGACCTCTTGGTAAATCTCCGACTCCTCTGAAGCGAACTGAAGGGAGGTCGCTCCTAGCAAAACAAGACAAAGCCTCTCCAGTCTCAAACACGAACCTAGCTCTCCTCTACCTCGTCATGGGCAAAAGTTTCTCTATGCGTACAAGAAGAGATCTGCCGGAAGGTCTTCCACCGCAGCATCTCAAAGAAGCAGAGAGCCCATTCCAACTTCACGAGAAAGAAAAGAGCTCCGGCTGCCTTTTAATCGACAATAAGAGAGAGAAGAGCTCCTTGACGTCCCATGTTCCTTCCTTCAAGAGATAGAAGAAAGTTAACTTTCAAAAAGTGAGCACAGAGCCCCCTTGACCTTTGCAAGAAGAGTCCGGTCCTCCTTTCAATCTTCAACACAAAACGAGCAGCCCTCTACCTCGTCCTCTGGAACAAGGAAAGAGCCCAGCTAGTCTTGGCAACAGAAGATTTTTTTCTAGAAGAAACTTCCTGAACCTGTTGCTAAGTTTTCACTTTATCTGAAGGGGAATGAACGGCTCCCACTCCTAGCACGAGAGGACAGAGCTCCCCAAGCCTACAAAAACAAGAAGAGAGCCTCCTCCAAGTTCATAAGAAAGAAGAGAGCTCCATCTCAGAAAAGCAGACAGGCCCTGCCAAACTATCTAGAGAGAAGAGAGCTCTTTTACCCCTCAGTCGGCAAGAAACCCCTCCTTTCTCTCTAGCAAAGGGAAAGATCGAGATCCTGACTACTCCGCTTACTTTTCAAACGAAATACGGAAGAGAACATATGCTCAAGAAAGGGTGGAGCTCTCCCCAGGCTTCAATGGCTTCAAAAAGAGAAATCTCGTCCTCCCCCCAGCCTTCGAACAGGAAAGGTAAGTCTCCCCACCTCATGTTCCAAAGCAAGAAGAGAGTTTTCGATTCAAGAAGATTGAAAAGATTTCGCTCCTAGCACGAGAGGACAGAGCTGCCCTAGCTTCCAACAAGAAAAGTCTTCACCTCATCCTCCACAAGAGGTCACTGCGAGCTTCCTCCAATTTGCTGAGACATAAGGGAGCTCCATCGTAAAAAGACAGACAGGACCCTCCAAACCATCGAGAAAGAAGAGAGCTGCGTTTACCCTTCAGCCGCCAAGAAGAGACCTCGTCTCTTGGTAAAGGATAAGGATCTTGATTGTCCACTTGATTTCTTCAAAAGATGGAGGAGGGCATGCGCTCAAGAAGAGAGGGTGGAGCTCCCCTCAACCTGCAAACAAGGAAGCTTGGTCCGCCCCGCAATCTTCGAAAAGAAAGAGAGAACTCCTCCACCTCATGCTTTGAAACAGGAAGAGCGACCCCGACAAGTTATTCGTGGCAAGAGAAGAGAGCTCCATTAGCTCTTGGAAGTCGCCTCTCAGTCCTCGCTCCCAGCAAGAGAGGACAGAGCCCCCCTCCCCCCGCTTTCAAAAACAACGTATGAATTCTCTACCTTATCATCGAACACAAGAAGAAAGCTCCCTCCAATTTCAGCAACTCAGACGAGAGGCCATTCTAACTTCTCGAGAAGGAAGAGAGCTTTGCCTACCTCTCGGTCGACAAGAAGAAAACTCTTTTCTCTCTTAGTCAGGGGCGAGAGCTCCTCACCTCCCCCTCCTCCGCTTCAAGACATGGAGAAAGCTTACAATCAAGAAAGAAGGATGGAGCTCTTCCCAACTTCAAAAACTTGACAAGAGAAGTCTGGTCCTCCCCGGGGCCTTCAAAAGGAGATGAAGCCCTGTACGTGATCCTCTGGAAACCGGAAGAGAGCTCACTCCAAGTTATTCTTAGTACAAGATGCGAGCTTCTGTCTAGAGAGCTCCTTGACCTCTTGGTAAGTCTTCATCTTAATCTTAAGAAGACTGAAGACAGCTCGCTCCTGGTCCTAGTAAATATGGACATGGCTCACCCAGTCTTCCACAAGAACGTATAAGTTCTCTACCTCATCCTGTGCCAGAAGAGAGCTTCCTCCAACATAAATAGAAAGAAGAGGGCCCCATCTCAAAATAGCAGATAGGGCTCGCGAACTTCACGAGAAAGAAGATTTTTCTAGAAGAGACCTCCCTAACTTTTTTGGTAAACCTTCATTGTCTTTGAAGAAGACTGAAGGGCTCCCACTCCAAGCACGAAAGGATAGAGCTCCCCCAGCCTACAACAAGAAGAAGAGAGCTTCCTCCAAGTTCACGAGAAAGAGGAGAGCTCCAAATCCAAAATACAGACAGACCCCGCCAAACCACCGAGAAAGAAGAGAGCTCCGTTTACCCATCAGTCGGCAACAAGAAACCTTCTTTCTCTCTTGGCAAGCGGAAGAAGACTATCTCCTCTTGCTTCAAACAAAAAATGGAAGGGAGCGTACGCTTCAAGAAGAAGGGATGA